AGAGCAATTAACAATAGACAATATCATAACAATAAGAGCTCGTCAAAAACATAGAAATCTTGAAATGGCATACATAGACTATAAGAAAGCATTCGATTCAGTCCCTCATAAATGGTTATTAAGAGTATTAAAACTATATAAAATTGACAACACATTGATAAACACATTAGAAAATATGATGAAAAAATGGAATACTAAATTGTGTGTCAATACAAATAATGGAACAAAAATAAGTACAGAAATCAAAATAAATAGAGGAATATTTCAAGGAGATTCACTCAGTCCTCTGTGGTTCTGCTTAGCCATAAACCCACTGTCATCACTACTTAAAAAGCTAAAAGGCGTAAATCTAAAATCAAGTGATACAAAATATAATCTAACATCTACTATATATGGACGACTTAAAACTATACGCCGAAAAAGAATCTGATTTAAATGCAATGCTAAAAACAACAGAAACTTTCTCCAATGATATAAATATGGAATTCGGATTAGATAAATGTGCTATAATGAAACTGAAAAGAGGAGTCTATTCTGAAAGAAATCAATACGAAACTGAAAACGGATATATAAAGGCACTAGAAAATGGAGATATATATAAGTACTTAGGAATTAAGCAAATGCATAAATCTAAAATGACAGAAGTTAAAGAAGAAATAAAGAAAACATTAAACCAAAGAATAATAAAAATACTAAAATCTCAACTAAACTCAAACAACAAATTCAAAGCCATAAACACTTGGGCTATACCTGTACTGACATACTCGTTCGGAATAATAAAATGGAGTAAAACAGAACTTGAGACCATTGAAAGACATATAAGGCGACAACTTACAATGTTTGGACTACACCACCCTAGAAGTTCTGTAGCACGACTGTGTGTTAGTAGAAAGCATGGGGGTAGAGGGTTACTAAACATTGTAAGCCTTGAAGGCAAACAGCGAGAATTGCTGAGAAAATACCATCAACAAAAATGCAATGTCTCAGAGCTCCACAAAATAACATCAACACTTGATAACAACTACACACCTCTAAATCTCAGCAATAATGAACATCAAATAGAAATACAAAATGAAAAAGAGAGAATTAACACATGGGCCTCAAAAGAACTCCACGGTAGATACAGAGCAGAACTCAACCAAACACACGTAGACGAAGAAATGTCTACAAAATGGTTGAAGTACGCCGGTCTTCATGGAGAGACAGAGGGGTTCATGATGGCAATACAAGATCGAGTGATTCCGACACGAAATCATCAGAAATACATCCAAAAGCTAAATATACTAACAGACAAGTGCAGGATGTGTCATATGGAGTCCGAAACAATAGAACATATACTAAATGGGTGTAAAGTACTCACAAACACCGAGTACCTAAGCCGTCACAACCAAGTAGCCAAAATCATACATCAGGAATTGGCAATAAGATTCGGACTAATCAAAGAACTATTACCATACTATAGATACGAGCCACAAAGTGTAATGGAAAGCAACAGAGCAAAGCTCTACTGGGATAAAGAAATAAGAACAGATAAGACTGTGGCCCACAACCGACCAGATATAGTACTAGTAGACAAACATCAAGATAAGGCGTACATAATAGACATAGCGGTCCCACTAACACACAAACTACAGGACACGCATAGTGAGAAACGCCGAAAATATACAGACTTGGCCTATGAGATTAATAAGATGTGGCGCATTAAGAAAGTTGAAATCATACCTATAATCCTGTCATCAATGGCCGTAATACCAAAAAATCTGGCCCTAAGTTTGGAATCACTGGAAATCAGAAAAACTAAGATCTATGAAATGCAAAAAGCAGTGATACTTCAGAGTTGTAGAACAGTCAGAAAAGTACTAGACTTGAGTTGAGTCTAACCAGTCGTGTCTCTGCCACCAAAAGTGGCCGACACAACTGTGATCACACCGGAACAACCGTGATATACAAAAGATAATAATAATAATAATAATAATAATAATAATAATAATAATAATAATAATAATAATAATAATAATAATAATAATAATAATAATAATAATAATAATATTAATAATTAATAATTATTATTATTATTATTATTATTATTATTATTATTATATTTATCTTACTTTATTAAATTATTTTAATAAAAGTAAGATAAGTTAGATATAATTTATGGTTTAGTAAGGGTGTGGGGCTAATGCCAAATGATCCCTAAGATCGAGATTTTCGTTCCCCCAGACTTTTTAACACGATTAAAAAAATTGTGGTTTAAAAAAACAATAAATGTCTATCCCCACTCTATCCCCACTCTATACCCCACTGTATCCCCCACTGTATCCCCACTCTATACCCCACTCTATATCCCACTCTATACCCCACTCCATACCCCACTCTATACCCCACTCTATATCCCACTCTATATCCCACTCTATACCCCACTCTATACCCCACTCTATACCCCACTCTATACCCCACTCTATACCCCACTCCATACCCCACTCTATATCACACTCTATATCCCACTCTATATCCCACTCTATACCCCACTCTATACCCCACTCTATACCCCACTCTATACCCCACTCTATACCCCACTCTATACCCCACTCTATACCCCACTCCATACCCCACTCTATATCACACTCTATATCCCACTCTATATCCCACTCTATACCCCACTCTATACCCCACTCTATATCCCACTCTATATCCCACTCTATACCCCACTCTATACCCCACTCTATACCCCAGATTTTTTATATTTTTGTCATTTTTCATTCGACCTCTTTAGACCCCCTAAAATCCAAAGCCTTGCTTAACCCTAATATAATTATATATTAAAAATTGAATTACACATAAATTTTTAGAAAATATGTATCAGACATATAAATCCTTTTTTAATTTTAACATTTTTATATAAAATAAATAATAATATTTTCTAATTTTAAGACCTACTGTTTGTTTGACATTTTTTGTAATAAAATTTATATTTTGTCTGAAAGTTATATTATTGTCAATTCAAATGTTGATATATTGAGTATTCAGTGATTTATTTTTATTTAATTTTATTTCTGTTACTATTCTTAAATAAGTCAAATCTTTTGTGTTTATATCTCGAAAACAATTTTTATTAAATAAAATTAGGTTCAAAATCAATGTAAACTATAGTTATAAATAAATTTGAATTGCATTTATTTTGAGTGTTTATTATGTATTTTTTAATAAAATAAAGTATACATGTTTACAAGTTTATACATTTGAAGTTTTCAAATTTTTATAAAAAAATAATTTAAAAATAAACGTTTTCAAAAAATTATGTATAAAACTTGATTATTATTTTTTATATACATGTATACTGTATATATTTACTTTAAAAAAATATGATTTTCATCGAAATTGAAAAATCAATGTTATAATTAATGGTTAGTGATTGTGTGATACAATTAATTAATTTTAAATAATCTATATTTTTTTAGATTGCCGACAACATTACCGCATGAGTTTAACAATCAATTGACAATATAATATGTGGGCGTATATCGTATATCTTCATCAAAATTGTTGACAACAAATCTTAAACCTTTCTATGAAACTATCGTCGAGTTGATCGATATATTTTTGGTTATATTGTTACCCGGCTTAACACCACATTAGATATGGGTATAACTTTTTAGATTTAAAATTTATAAATTCAATGTGAAAACTAAACTCACGGACCAATCCATAGTTTATTTAGTTTGACAGCACTCGTGATTCCTGTTCACTGAAAAACGGGAAACGAAAAAACCAAATGAGATACCGGTTAGCGGTTTGATGGATGCAAAGCTCTAACTCTCAATAAGTCATCTCTTTTACATGATTTTCATTAATAGGAAGACTTTTAAGATATTTTTTTTATATAATTTAATATTATTTCTGCTTTAATAATACCAATGTATTCACAACTATAATATATTGCATTTGCTCTCTCTCTTTCTCTCACTTATTCATTATATACTAAAGAGTGTATATATTATTTAAAAAGATATAAATATTATCTCACATAAACACATTTATTCACTTACTATTTATATTACATCATTTGCTTTAAAACATATTTTGGGATAAATCAGAGTTTATTAAATGAAAATATTTATATATTATTTTGGAAAAATATTAGTCAACGTAAGTAAATAAATAAATACTAGAAATATGCAGTATTTTACATTAATAACAAATAATTTGAATTTTTAACAATAATAATAATCTCAGAATAATTATGAAATGAATGTTTTGCATAAAATTGTTATTAAAACCAATTTCGATACTCTTTTTAAAGAATTACTAATACTTTATTTTATTATAACATATTATTTTGTATTTTTATAATAATAAATTTACAGAATATTCTGTATATTAAAGGTTTAAACTTTTGTACGTTAATTATATAAATGAAGTCCTCATTATTTTTTTAAATGACTAATAATTTTATATTTATTTTATAGAATATATTTTTTAATTTTTATATTTATCAAATAAAAATATTAAAAATAATTTATAGTTAATATTAACTATGCAAACATTTATAATTTAATATATTATATGTATACATATATGTAAAGTACTTTACTTTATGTTATTGCAATTAGGTCATTATTTTATTAATCTATATTAAATCTAAATTAATTGAAATATACAATAATCTATATAATAGTTGACAAGATTTTAGTTTTGCATAATTTTTAAACATAATATTAATAAATCTAAAATATTATGTTATATAAGTTAATTTTCTAACATTTTAAATATTTAAAAAAAATAATCTTTTAATAAAAATTTATAATATAATATGTGACAATAAATTTAATTAAATATATTGAAACATATTAATTGATTGTATTTAATGTGTCTTTAAATTTGAGTAATTATTATATTTTGATTATATCTTAATTATTAATATATTGTAATGAAATCATTTCAAACATTTAAGAAATCAATTTATTTTAACATATTATATGTTAACGTATTTTGTGTTGTATTTCAAAGTCATTGTAAACAAAGCATTGTTTTTATTATTAATTTAATTCAATATTAATATCTATTTTCATCTGTTTTTCTTTTGGATCAAATATTAGAGACAATTCTTATGTTTGGCACGACTTGTGTCCAAAAATCAGCGCTTAAGACATCGTTGTCCTCACTGTTTGTGTTATCATTGATTAAATCCATAAACTATCACTCAATGGCCTTCAATGAAGTCAAACGTTTGTATTTAAAAAATGACATTAATTTTAATCAATTAATATCTTTAACGACTTGTTTTCATCCACAGAGCGATACCTTACGATGTCGACGGAAGAGAAGAGAAAACAATACAAATGCGGTGACAATTACAAGACATTGTTGGATACAATCAGTTGGACCCTCTACTCAAAGACCAAACATATTAACAAACAGTTTTCATCTTCCGATTACGTCTTCAACAGAGAGTTTAACGATAAGATCGCAATATTTAGCGGTGATATTACAGCTCTTGAAGTGGACGCCATTGTCAACGCAGCCAACAAACATCTTAAAGGAGGCGGAGGAGGTTTGACCTAATGTTTATCGATTGACTTAACTATTGATTGCATTAATTGTTAAAATAATTCAGTTGACGGCGCCATTCATTCGGCCGCCGGTTTCAACTTACTTCAGGCCGAATGTAAAACATTGAACGGATGTGAGACCGGGAACAGCAAAATAACCGGAGGATACAAATTGCCCGCAAAATGTTACTATAGTTTTGTCTTTATTGTCAGACCTTTTTTTAAAAAAATGTTGACACGAATTATATTTTCTCTACTTTTTTCATCTATCGGTAAATATTAGATGTCATTCATACTGTTGGTCCCGTCGGTGAAAAGCCAACACTGCTTCAGTCATGTTATAAGACATCACTCGATCTAATGGCTGAAAATAAACTTAAATCGATTGCTTTTCCATGTATTTCGACGGGAATTTACGGCTATCCTAACGAAGAGGCGGCCAATGTTGCACTCAATACTGCCAGACAATGGTTGGACACTAATCCTTACGCTAAAGAAATTGAAAGAATTATATTTTGTTTATTTCTTCCGATTGATATCGATATATACACTAAATTATTGCCAATTTATTTTCCAATTCAGTAAACATTTTTTTGAATTTTGCAGCTTATTTGATGTTTTTTATATATTACACTAAAAACAGTATTTATAGAAATTTCAAATCAAATGCATTAATTTAGATTAAATTTTTTTTTTTGGTTAAATTTAATCTAAAAATTTATTATGAATTTAAATTCTAATACAAAGTTAATTAAATTATTATCGTATATAATTGTAAACAATATTTACTATATTTAAAAAATTTCTATGTTGTTTAGTAGTATAAATAAATAAAGTTTATTTTTAAAAATAATGTAAATACATGTTTTAACAATTTATTTTTTTTATTATATTATTAAATATTTGTTTGAATTTTGTTAATAATAGCGGAATGTAAGTATAATAAATATTGTACATAAAGTCATAGAAATATAATAATTTAAATTATTTTTGCATAAAATTATCGTTTGAGTTACGGTAAGTAATTTTATTTAACTTAACAAAAATAGTTGTTTCACAGTTATTTTATGCTTAAATATCTAATTGATTGACTAATGTATAAAATCCTAGTTATAAAAGACTTGTTAATGTTTTAGATATAAAATTTTGAACTATAGTTAAGTTATTGAGTGATAACTGAATATAAGTATAACTTATAAAATTATACGATATATATATATATAGTTATGATAAGTTAATTTACTTACATTTTGTGTATTGGCCATAGTTTAGGGATAAATGATTAGACAAGTCATTGAACTTTTGGAAGTAAGTTAAAGGACAGGTAGTTTGAGTTACAGGTAAGTGGAGCTGACATTGGAGTCCGGGTTTTCCTGTTTGAGTTCACCTTTCAATTATAATAATGACATTCAAAGTGGATGTTCAGGGATGGAAAAAATCAACTTTAAAATAATATTGTAAACAAAAATTTAATTGCATTTAAAATTATAATATTTTATCTCTTCGTATGACTTGAAATAGGCTTCAAGTGCTCCAAATGTTGTTCACATCCCAACCGATCACCAATCGTGAGGAACGAGACCTTTAATGTGAAGATCCAGTGCTAACATATAACTTATGATAAATACAAACATTTATTATTAAAATTTAGTTTTAAGTAGTTTTACAAAAATTTTATTTCTTAGTTATCATAAAAATATGAAACTTAATACTTGTAAGTACTATATTATTTGATTTTTTAAATTAGTAAAAAAGTACATTATATTTTTTTATTTAATTAGTTTTAATTATAAACTATTAAAAAATTATTTTTTCTTTTAATATTTAAAAACTATGTTTACATTTATTACAGATTTTTGTATCACTTCTCTCTGTATAATCTTTATGTGTTTGTCCACTAATGGCGATACAAATGCAAACAATGTCAAGCCTTTGACATCAAATACTACAAATCAGTCATCAAATAGTAGATCAATGAAAAATAATTCAAATAATGGATTAGAAAAAAGCAAAAGAAGTGAACATAAAAGTAAAGAAAATGGTAATAAAGATATGTATGATATCTATCGGTTACATCAAACCAATGACATCAACAAAGAGTCCAAAGTGGACACCGATAAGAAAGAGAGAGGAAAACTACAAACTGTTGGCGGAGTTTTCGGTGAAATCATTGCAGTGATCGTATCAGAAGTGGTTAAAATGTTTGGAAATATGGTCAGTGATGTGGCCCGAGAGGTCACCGCACATGGATTTGTCTCAGTTTTTAAACAATTTACTGATTTGACTGGAATTACATTACCTGATCTATAGTTTATATTTTGGTTATATTTATTTATTTATTTAAATATTTAAATATTTATTTACATGTTATATGAATGTTAAAATTTATTTATTAAACATTAAATCATTTAAATATTAAGTTAAACTATATAAATATTTATATTATTATATTATTAATTAACATAATATATTCAATAAATCATTAATTAATATTATTTAATTTTTTATCTTTATCTTTATAAATTATACATTACAAATTATATTTTCAAAAAGTTTGTTTAAAAATAAAATAGATTATTATTGACTCTAACAGCTAAAATTGTTAAATATATGTAAAACTATATTTATTATTATTAATTTATACAATTATTCAGTATAATATATATATTTATTTTATATAAAAATATAAATATATTAGTAGGATGTAAATTTTAGCGAAATATAATTTATTTTACTTAACATATATTATAGATTTATTATTTCTATTACTAGTATAAAACCTTATAAAACCTTATAAAATCCTATAATTGTGTAAATTATTTTTTTTAATAGACAACAAAAATATTCTTTGATATAATAAACGCAATGATTGTATGCCATCTCTAGTTTGTGTAAAGAAAACATTACAGAATATTCCTAATTTCTGAATACAATTGCTTCGCGTTTTATTTATTAAAACATTTAAATTATAATTTCTAACAATAATTATATTTAATAAAACATGAATATAGTATATATGGAAATTATTTACCTATTATGTTTTCTATTATTTAATTGTAAGTAAATTAACCTTTTTATGTTAAATATTATTGAAATGTTTAATATAATAATATTGTTTTTATTATTAGTTTGTGTTTGTATGTCTTTTGCAAAAAATAAATCAATTTCCAATGTTTTATTATTTAAAAGAGTAAGATATATAATTCTAAGCTAATTAAATAAATTTGACATTAATTAATTGTTTGTAATTTAAAGGCTGCTCCGGTATTATCAACAAAACCCCCACTAGTGACTGGACTGCCCACTAAACAACCCGCACCTGCCTTTACATTCGCAGTTTGGGATGAAAACGGATTTATTTGCATTTTGGCTAAATTTGAGGCTTCATTTACCGTGACTTACGATATTAAGGGAAACACTCAAGTATTCACATTAAATATATTAATTTAATTTAAATAATTTATTTTATATTTTTATATTTTATTAGCCATTAAATGATAGGATTCCAGTGGACGCCATTAGTAAAGGAAGATGTGATTATCTATTGGATGAAAAGCCGGGTAAATATTTTTATTAATTTTTGTGTAAAACTTTGTATAATTTGAGTAATAAATTATATTTAATATAAATTAATTTTAAAGTATTAGACGTTACATGGATCGGAGGATTTACATTTCGTATGATTTTTGAAAAGGTATTTAAAATATATGAAAACTTTATTACAATTTAATTAATTTGCTTTTAATTATTAGGTCGGAGACAAAAATTGGGGCATAAATTCAATAGATTTAGTCTACAATACGGCCGACTCGTTATTCAAGGGATCGATAAAAGGTTTAGACTTATTGTCAATTTTTTTTATCAAATTAATTATATTGTAAATATTATTATAATTGAAAAAACAGGTGGCAAAAAAGTAGCCCGTTCCAAGGAGGGCAGTCTCGGCATGTTTAGCACACCACTGGGCAAATCATATCTGTGTCCATCGCCACCCGTTATCAATCTGTATGAGTCTAAAACAGACAAACAAACAGTTGTAGTACGTCTGGCCAATGTTGAGTTACAGGCATTTCAAATTGAAAAGGGAAAGTTTGCACCGGGTATGGGCACAGGGATATAATATATTTATTTCTACTAATTTATTAATTGCCAAATGTGTTATTAGTTTCCCGATGCAGTTCAGTTGGCTTTGGATCCGGAGTTCAGGCGCCCATATATACACTGACTCTTGAACAGGACGATAGTGTACCCGTTGTTGTCGGAAGTATTACTATTATGGTATCCATACTTGTGGTCGTTGGATATGCTGTCTACAGATCCTGGTTTACCAGTCGTGTTGATTATGACACTATGGGCTGAGTTTTCAGTTTACAAATCAATATTTCAATAGACATGAGGTTTAACTAATAATGCCTTCATTTATGTCTTCCATTATTTACTGAGAAAATCTTAACGCAATAATTGTATTAATGGCTAATAATTTGATAATCAAATCATACATATCGTTAAAAAACATTAATAAGTTTTTAGTTTGTTTTCCAATTTCTTTCTTATTTTTCCAAATAGTATCATATATTATATGAATTTTATTATATACTGTATATAATCATATTATCATAAAATTATTATTATTTTATTGAATTTATTTTTAATTTAATATAACTAAATTTTCATTATATATATATAATACTGTAGCATATAAATAGAAAACAATTACCGGTAATATACAGTAGTATATACTGTATTATTTTATAATTTCAAAACATTAGACCTAGAACCTAAAACAAATATGGTATATGAATTTTGTGCAAAACTATATATTCATATTATCTAATAATAATATATTAAATATTATAAAATAGATAATTTAAACAAAAAAATATATAATGTTATATATAATTATGTGCAATATTTGGTATGAAATGCAAGTTATATGAAACTATGTCTTCCAATATTGTGATTGTTTTCGAAATATTACAAATAATTAGATTTTTGTTAAACTCTTTATATAACGGTTTTATTTATATTTCAAATGCTATAAAATATTATTTTATAAATAATTAATATATTTTAAAATTTAATATTTATAGAAAATCTATGTTTTCTCTTAAATGTAACCAATGAGTTATAAATGACTATATCATGTGTAAAATGTAATTTAATAGCAGAAACATTTCATAATAGTATAAAATTACAACGATATCGTATATATGTTATAATCAATAAAATATATGTAATTATAAAAATAAAATTGTAACTAAAATAACAACTATAATATTATTTTGATTGAAAATTTATTTTCCATACTTCAAAATGATGATTAAGTTTTGGTAATAAATGAAATTCATGTAAACTAATGGCTTTATCACAACAATCAAACAAATCATTACAATGACTGTCATTTGAATCGATAAAAAATAATCGACTAATTCTTGAATGAACTAAAGCCATACAACACATAATACATGGCTCACCACTCATGTAAAAGTCATATCCATTACATAAATAACTATCACTTTTGATATTATCGTCTTTTTGTCTTTCATTACATTGCTTATCAGCGATGGTATCGATGGCCACAATAACTGAATGTTTTAATGGATTTTTTAAAACATCGGATTTACAAATAGTTAATATGTTATGACTCGAATCGGTCACTAATGTTACCATCGATTTCCTGTCATTATCTTCTTTATCACGAAATTCTATCACTTTAGAGATCAATTCAAATATAATTTTTCTTGATATTAGGTCGAAAACGGTTGAATTCAAACATTTTTCTAAACTTTAAAAATAATTGTTAATTTTGATATATATTATAATAATTTGATATATAATATCTACTATTTGTTTGGATGATAATTAATTGGCCATAACTGACAACTCTTCTCATATTGATTTCGATTCTTTGGATTATTCTTCGGCACAACTCTTGTATTGAATGGCAATAAATGATTTTGTTTGAGAAAATGGTTTACTTTTTCAGATAATTCACTGTTTCGATAGTCTTTGGCACAAATTATTACTTCAATGGACTTGTCTTTAGAGTTAATTCTCTTTAAATGACTTAAAGATTTTAACGGAATCTCTTTGCTTAAGAAGTTAACGATATATGAAATCAGTGTTTTGTCGGTAATTCTTGAGGTCAACACTTCAACTGATACAACAAATCACATCAATTGATACAATCATTAATAATGATATTAATTACTAATAAATAATTAGTTTGAATACCTGTTTCAATATGTGATGAATAGTATTGTTGGCTAACAATCAGTGATAACTTCATCGCATCGACGGTTAGTTTCATTGCATTCATAACTTAAATCAATCAATAATACAATGATATATCAAACTTGTCTTATATTTAGTAATCAATTATCACATAATAGTCGACAATATGTTTGAAATTGAAATTATTTTTTAATGTCAATCATGTGATTAAAACATTTAGTTTTTTAGTTAACAAAACAATAATAATGAATATAAAGGCATGAAATCACTTGTTTATTGCATATTATCAACACTAGGGTTAACACATGTTATTCTAATGAATGTACCGGTAATTCAATATAATATTATGTTATTATTATAGCTATGTTTCTTCGGCAGTTAAAATGGTCAAAATCGGTCGGAAAGGAAAATCGGTCGGAAAATCGCGAGTAAAAAATTACAAAATCGTGATATAAATCGGGAAAATTAAATTTTGTTTTTTCTTATACCTGTAGTACTAATAATAAATAGTTTATATTTTACAAAATGGGTTATATTTGCTAAAAATAATTTATTTTCAGTTTTTAATTAATTAATTGATTATAAAAATAAAATTTAGTTTTAATTATAAACTACATTTTGTTAGTAAACTACAATTGTAAACAATAAATACATTAATTAATTTAAGTATTACAGTAAAAATTTTTACAATACATACAGTTTTTATAGCATAATATTGTCTAATATTGTCTAATGTGTGCTAATATTGCATTACATGTACCGCTAATATTGTAATCAATATGTATTTAAATGTTATGTCAATAAATATTTAGCCAATTTCGGGAAAAATACATTTAAATAGTGTTTTTCGGGATTTTCTCAAAATGTTTCAATATTTCTATAAATATTAAATTCCCGGCGATTTAATAAATAATAAAGTTTCGTGAATTCCCTCATAGCTATAGTTATTATTTTATTTTTATCAATATGTGATAGTTTTAATTATTAATCATCATTTAATTAATTAATTTTTATTATATAATAAATAGTTGACCATGCTATTTATTTTAATACTAGGATATCAATCATTTAGCACAGATACTGGAAATTTTCAATATTAATGTTATTTAATAATATTTATATATTTTTCCGGCGCATAGTTTGTGAGACATGTGTTAATCCTAATATCAATTGAATCCAATTCACGACTTTGCTTACTATTATTGCTTACATTTTTTATATTTTCATTCAATCATATACTCCGTAACTATTATTAGTAGAGATTGAGAAAATAAATAAATAATTGTGTTGTGTTTGTGTGACCACACATTGGTAGTCAATGGGGGCTTAAATAACACAAATATTTGTAACGATTTATTTGTAATATAATTATTAAGGTATTCAATAATAATGGCGTTTTCATTACAATAATAAAAATATTTGATTTATAGTACAATTGAGTGTATAGTATGTATAATATAGTATTGAATGCTATATATAAATGACACGCCTTTACATACCATTACATACCAAACATTAATTAGTATTCATATGATTATCAATGCATTCATTACTATAATCATTGTTTTATCAAATATTTACTTATTTTTTATATATTTGTTATTAAAATATATTTTTTTAAAATATAACTAAATATATATTTATATCTATTTTTGTAACACATTTGAAGCCAATAGTCGACGACTGCATTGAATTTATCGGTAAATATGATATTTATTTGAAAGACCTGTCATTTGAAGCCAACTTTTTTGAGCCATTTGTGCCGCCATTGATGTCCACTGCAATCGATGGACCAATTGGTTGATTATCTTATTTTTTTATTAATACTTTTTGTCTGATTTCAGTGATATTTATGTCGAAATGTTCGGCAAAAAGAAGAAAAAGCCGACTATTTCTTCGCCGACCAATTTTGAACACAGAGTTCACACGGGATTTGATAGACGCGAAGGTATTATTCAATAAGTTTGACAATTAATGTGTTATTTAATGATCTGATGGTGTAATTGAAGGCAAATTTGTTGGATTACCGCCGCAATGGTTGTCTCTAATCCAAGGCAACAGCAATTCATTCCGTCCGCGACCTATTATCGACCCGTCAAACATCACTCAAACCGAGATTATGGACATCAAGTCTCAGACGATAATTCGCGGCAATTCTGTGGCTACCACTCAATCGGTTGGCCGAGCATTGGTCACGCGATCCAATTCATTAAGAAAAGCTGATTCGCCGCCATCTCTTCGTCCTAATCGAGTGCCACCACCGCTGCCTGAAAACGATGTGCTCGACGGCGGATCCAATCCTACAGCGAGCGGACAAATACAGCCATCAATGCCATTTCCAGTGCCTCCAACAGCCGGTCAACATATACATCATAATTACAATCACAATCATCTCATGAATCAAAAACAATTACATTTTAATCATTTTCGCAATAATCAGCCGCCAATGGCCGGCCACATGTCGGGTCATAATTTAAATTTAATGCAACCAACGATTAAACAACAGTTAAATCTTAATTTAAATCAAAACTTTAAGAATGGCTATAACTCTAACACTTCATCTGTTAATAGCAATTCTCCAAATACTAACATTAATTCAAATAATAATAATAATAATAATTATAACAACAATAACTCCAACAACAATACTAATACTACAATCGCAAACAACAACAATAACATCAATAATAACACAACTGTGAACAATAATAACTGGAGTACCAATAGAACCAAGTTTTCAATGCTTCCTCAGCCACAGCAGCCTATTATACCTCAGCAGCCATTCCATAACAATCAGTCACATCAACATCCATCACAAGCCATTCAGCTAACACCACCTCATCTACCAATAAAAGGACAGTTATCACCACATCATCAAAACCAACAAAGAGCAAAATCGCCGGTATCTATACCACAGCTAACTCAACATTCAAATACACAAATTAATGATCAAATAGTAGCTAATGGACCACAAATGCCTTATCCAACCACAACAATGCATTCACAACAAAAAGTGATGACCGCAAATCCAGCCACACAACAGAATAATAGTCAAAATGCTTATCCAACTCATCAAAGCTTAGGAGCACATCATCCACAACAACAAACAATTCCAATGACTGTTCCCAATGCTGGACAATCTTTGAGATCGCAATCTCCTCAACAGCAGCCGTCACCACATTTACCACAATCCAGTCAAGACACTCCAGGACAACCATCCAATGCACAAGCTATTCCAGCACAGACACAACAGCGCCTTTCTCACGAACAATTTAGAGCAGCTCTTCAATTAGTAGTCAGTCCAGGAGATCCCAGGTTTGTAATGTGGATTTAATAATAATTCATTTTACGGACTTTTATTTATAATTATATATTTTAATTTAGAGAAAATCTGGAAAACTTTGTTAAGATAGGAGAGGGATCAACTGGAATTGTATGCATTGCATTGGAAAAGAGTTCTTCACGTCAGGTGGCCGTCAAGAAAATGGATTTACGAAAACAACAGCGAAGAGAACTATTGTTTAATGAAGTGGTTATTATGCGAGACTATCATCACCCAAATATTGTTGAAATGTACGATTCATTTCTGGTCGACGATGAGCTTTGGGTGGTTATGGAGTTTCTCGAAGGCGGCGCTCTCACAGATATTGTCACTCATTCACGTATGGATGAGGAACAGATCGCCACTGTTTGCAAACAGTGTCTCAAAGCTCTGGCTTTTCTTCATTCACAAGGAGTCATCCATAGAGACATCAAAAGTGATTCAATATTACTTGCGAGTGATGGCAGAGTTAGTATTCATAATAATATGACTTTTGATATTTAGTTGACATTATATTAAATGATCTAATATTTAGGTAAAATTATCTGATTTCGGATTCTGTGCACAAGTCTCGTCTGAATTACCTAAACGTAAATCATTAGTTGGAACACCTTATTGGATGGCACCCGAAGGTAATATAAATAACACTATTTTAATACTTTATTGATCTTTTAATTCATGAATTACTTTATCTAAAAAACTTATTTACAGTTATATCACGTCTTCCTTATGGACCGGAAGTAGATATTTGGTCGTTAGGTATAATGGTTATTGAGATGTGTGACGGCGAGCCTCCCTTTTTCAATGAACCTCCACTGCAAGCGATGCGACGCATTCGTGATATGCCTCCGCCTAAGCTTAAGAATGTACATAAAGTGTCGCCTCGTTTGCTGGCTTTTCTCGAGAAGATGTTGGTTCGCGAACCAACACAACGTTCAAATGCTTTGGAACTGCTTCAGCATCCGTTCCTTCGACAGGTAATTATTATATGAAAATAATGATTTAAGACAAATGTATTAATTTTTAATTGTTTTGTTACAATTGAAAGGCTGGTCCGCCAAGTCTTTTGGTACCATTAATGCGATCCTTCCGTCACAGTCCCTGTTAAACACATACAGCTAATGACCACAAAATTTAGATATTTTTGACATTTGATTGTAATTTATTTATTATTATTGTAGCCAATCATGACAACTACTATACTGTTATTACATAATAATATCATTATTTTTTATAAACATTTACCATAATATATGTTGAAATTATGTTTCGGTTATTACTATTCCTATACAATAACTTTGTTAAAAATCCGTCCATTAATTACTTAATTTAAAATCGATTCGGTTATTTGGTTGCTATTAAATGAATCTTATTTTTATTACAATATAATTGATTATTTGTTAATAAAAATAAAAGATATTTATTTAAAACTAATAGTAAAGTATATTATTATTACTTATAATTAAAAATGTGTAAATTTTACAATAAATAACACAAATTGCAAATATTTATAAATTGGTATATTATAAAAAGTTTAAAGTAAATACTAAAATTAATCAATTATTTACATTAAATCTAATTACAGGTTGAGATCTCTCGAAAGCTGTAAATTGTTTTTAATACAATTGTTTTGTTTGAATATAAAACGAGAGTAAAAATTGAAAAATATTGACTATATATTACAATTTAAAAAGTGAAAAATAATGAAAAATCAAATAATTATTAAAAAGATTTAAATATTTAGAAGAGAAGGCAAAGTCCTCAACCAGTTATTCAGTCATTAGAATCTAAAGCGCGGATAATATGGAGATTTGGATTCATTTTGTCGATTATTATTATATTTACGACCCGAACCATTGTAACCATTATTACCGTATGAGTTATAGTTGGGATTACGATTCCATTGATTGTTGTATCGATTGTTGTTTTGTTGATAAGGAGATCTACTCGAGTACGGCGATCGACCACTGCTTTTGTTTTCATCTCTATATTGATAGAAATTTTTGTTACCATTTCTATAGTTATTTATTGGACTTTTCATTCGATAGTCATTATTATCACGAATTGTGTTTTGAGTCTTAGGTGACGACCGACCGGCGCCTATAGTGAACGTATCATTTAAAGCATTGTTCTCGTCGTCTATATTTCGTTTACTCGCCGAAACCACTGCCACTTTCGATGTCTTTGTTACCGTCGATGTAAGCGATAGTTTGGGTAAATTCACATTTTTCTGCATTAATGGTAAACCTCTTTCAGGAGTCATATTTGCATTGTTGGGAGTTATGTGATGAACGGAAACCAAAGCTCGTGATGTGTTTAGTTGTGGTGTATTATTCAGTGCTAAATAAGTCGGCAATGAGAACAGTGACGCCACTTCTTTGCGTTTTGAAATGGTTGGCGAAGAGATATCGTCTTTCCAAACGACATTTTTCTTTCCCTCAACTCTACGTAAAAGTGATATAAAAGCGGTTTCTAGTTCTTCGCTAAGACGTCCCATACCATCGAGACATTGATAAGCTTTACGATTCAATTTAACCGAATCCATCATAAGTTCTTCATTAGTATCTAATCGACTGAATATCTCTTTTGCAATTTCGAGCGAATGTTTTTCAGCAAATGCTTTATCTTTGAACTCAGCCTTAATGTTCTCATCGGTAAAAAATCGATTGATTAGCCAATCATCAGATCCAGTCTTTTCTAATAATTCGCTCTCAATTTTCCTAATCTTGCTTTCATTTTCTTCTACTTTGGCTTCGAGAGTGCATTTTTGATCAGAATAATGAAGTTTCTGATTATACAGTGATTGTAATGGATCTGATTTAGCCATTGAGCTCATCTCATAGTCATCGTTGGCCATTGTTTTATATCTTTCCATATCATACTTTCGAAAAAGAAGTCTTAACTATAAGAATATATGAATTTAATATTAGATATCAATTTATTAATTACAATAAAAACCATTTCTTACATCRATTTTCTTTAAATTTGATTCACTTTCCATAAGTTTTTGTCTTAATTCAAACCTCTCCTCAAACAATAAGTCCAATGAATTCTTGACGGAATTCAAGAGTTTATTTGAATCATTCTTAGCATTGATGACATCCCTCGGAACCGAATTAATAGTTGAACGAAGTCTTTCACATTCACTTCTCAATTGATCCAATTGTTCGGTCAAATCAGTTATCTTACGATTTTGAGTTTCCATTATATTGTTATAATTTCTTGGTTGAAGACCAACAGAAATGTTGTTCTTCTTTAGGCTCAATTGAATACCTTTGGCTCTATCGGCGTATACGAGTGTGTTATGAGTTTCTTCAAAATGACATCTCGAAGGACTAACGGTTGCTATCATTGTTGTCTGACAATTGCCACCCAATGAATCTCTTAATAATAATGTCAATTTTGATCCACGATATGGTATATAAGTTTGTTTCTTTCTTGGATCAGTTGCGGCCAATGCTGTAATACAATTACCCAAAGCTAACAATGATTTGTTAATATTTCCGCCCTCTCTCTGCAGTCCTTTACTTCTATTAGTTTTATAAGCAGTGGTAGCCCTCTCACTGCCGGCCAAATCAATTAATGACATTTTCGATACTTGAATAGACATTTCTTGAGACGACGAGTACTCCTGTTTTTTCAGTGATATCTGGAAGACTGCGTGCGATCGCGAGGACTCTGCGTTAGCATCGGTCGGATGTTGGGTTCGGTTTCTATTCCCGTATTCCAACATTTCTAGTAAATGGTTCGCATCTTTTGGCTGATGTATTGACAAACCACTCACAACTATTCCGCGTCTGTTATCTTCTCGTACGGCCAATGCTTTGCCAGACGTCGGGTCCAATAAATCAAACACAACTTCATTATAAATCTCGAAATAAGAAATACTTAGTTCTAATTTCTCTTCGTCAGACTTTTCTTCTAACTTCCGGAACAATTCCATTGTTGTGAAGAATATAACTCCCGGATCATCAGCTGATCCCAACATTGTGTGCGTCTTTCCAGATCCGGTGGCGCCGTAAGCAAAGACCGCACAGTTATATCCATTGAGAAGAGAATCGACAAAATGTTTAGTCGTTTGTTCAAATACTTTGATATTATCAATATTCTCATCAAAAACTCGGTCGAAGACAAACTGCAAGTTTCTATTAGGTCTGCGACCGATAGCCCGATATGTCTTTCCGCGGTATTCGTACTGGTCTTCGGTATTGAGACTGTTGTCCAATTCTATGGGATCAAAGACCAGTAATTGTGTGTCGATTACGTCAATTGACTTTTTCAATCCATTGTCGGTCTCGGCGTCATTCAGTGGTCTAACCCTCACATATACGCGCATTCGGTTCGACGTATCAGCCGAAGTGTGGCCACCGGTTGCAGTGCACCGCTGTTTGGCCGGACTCGACTCATATGTCTCGTGAGACGATCTCTTCATACTCGACGACATTAATCTTAATTTATAAAAGTAATGAAAATGATATCAATTTATTTGATATAAAATGCAATCAATTGGTTAACGATTCAAATGATTTGTATATATATTTAATTGCAATTAAATTGAATTGAATTATACTTACATTGAATGCGACAACAATTGTATTATAATTTATCGGTTAAATAATCACATGATATAGCAGTCAATGTAATGACTAATTGTTGACTTAATTGTATAAAACTTATGACAAATAAGTGATTGAAATATAAAACTATAAAATGATTGAATCGTTAGTTTCAATGCAAACAATGAGTCGATTCCCGGATTTCAACGACTATTTCGAATGAAACTTTAATTTTAAACTTTTTGTTTGCTTCCATACTATTGGTTGAGTGATATATCACATGATAGTGTATGTGTAGAGCAATTTATCGACCAATGATTGGTTGAGACAATAGTGTCGACAGCGAAGCGATTGCTAAGCATTTGATTGGCTGAATGAGTGCTCAATTGAGACCTCGAGAGGAGATTACAATTGAATGTATAGTATATTATGTGTTATTGAGTCATACGGTATGCGATATGTTTGAGACATTGTATCGATTGTTTGAATGCATTGCTTGAATGCATTGATTTTGAATACTATTTGATTGCAGACATCAATCCATATGATTGCTGTTGTGTTGACTGTTATGTGTTGTGTATGTTATGTGTGACCACTGTTTGCATACAATTGACATTACATTGCATTTTGTTTAACCATTTATTATTCAATTTGATTATCAACTAAACTATAAGTTTAAACAAATATTTTATATATTAATATATATTTACAGACATTTATGTATTGGAAAATAAAAACAAATTAGTTTTGTTTCAAAAGGCATTCATTTGAAAATATTTTGAAAACAATTTAATAGATATTTATAAATAAAATACAAATTACAGGCATTTTGACCAAAGAATATATGCTTTTATTTTTATACATTATTTTTATCAATCAATTCATTTTATTTATAAATATTGATAATTAGTTTTGATATTAAAAACAATTTACTATTTATGCCATTATTTTGTGACAATTATTTCAATGAAAAATAGGACTCATTTTGTTTATATTAAATTAATTATATATTTTATAAAAACGAATCAAATGTGAGATAACTTTATATATAATATATATACGGATAATAATAATAATAATAATAATGTTATAAATTAAAACATGGCTTTCATTTGAAATGCAAATCAATTTTTAAAGTATAAATAAACGACAGGTTTTTGCACAAAATATGATGTCATAGGATGTGGTAGTATGTGATCAACACATGTGTTAATCATTTGTTAATATACGTCCTTTTATTGGCGCACTTCTTCGTGATTTTGCCGACTCTTTCTTTGTGATCAGTCGTTAATTTAATGATAAGTTGTTTGGCTTCAGTGATTTGATCCGAGAATAAGTTACTTCTTTGAAGATTACCTCTAATCAAATCATTTAGTTTAACAGCTATTGTGTCCAGAGGTGCCTCATTGACACCTATAGTAGTCCTGTTATTGGACTCACTGGCACTCAAACAATTAGTTGCATTTGGGTTTGTGTTTGTGTTAACAGTAGTGTTGGAGCACTGGTTGTTCGTCACACAAACATCCTTCTCGAAAGTCTCTAAAAATTGATTCAATCTTTGGTACACATTGTGCTCATTATCAGTCATCACTTCCATCTGAGACGCCAAGTGATGAATCTTCCATCCATTCTTTCGTTGAAGTCCTTCGTTACTCAATTCACTTAAAGTTAACTTTTTTTCAGGCTTTGGTCTAACATCGGAATACCTTAAGAAGTGGTATTGAAGTGACTTCCAGCCCATATTATATGATGATAACAGTGAAACTCGTGGTTTCTTATTGATGCGAACCACACTCTCCTTCTCATTACAAATGTCTTCTTTACAATCACTGGTAGAACTGTTGAGTAAATTAAGATTTTGTGATGTCTTAAGACTCGACGGCTCTAATAGTTGTTTTCGTGGTTTCTTCCGCGGCGTCTGATTGCCTTCAGAGTTAGGAGTCGTTGGATGAGCTGTTGAACAATTAGGCGCTAAATTTGCATCACTTGTGGCTAATAAATCATTTACTTTGTTCTCTGAATTTAATAAATCAGTTTTTAGTCCATAACAAGAAACTCGTGGTATTGTTGAGCCGCTAATGGATGTGTTTGGTACAGTTGTCTTAAAGAGGGCGGTTGGCGTCAGACCTCCTGATAGTAAATCATTTGGTCGCTTACGTATCAAAATGCTGGGTCGGGGAGAACTGGGAGTTGAGGTCTGTAGCGATTGTTTTATCGGTGAATTAGCTGGAGATGAGAGGATCGTTGGCCTTAGAGGTGACGTTGTGTTAACCGATGTGATCGGCGGTAATAATTGTTGCGGTTGTAGTGTCGATGAGGTTTGTAATGAGTTTGCATTTTGATGGCCAATAGWTCGCTGTTGAGAGGTATGTATGTGTTGTTGTTGTGAAGACTGCAATGAATTACTTACACTATGAATGAATGGCGAACTCGTCGAGACCACCGAATGTCTGGTCGTTAAGATGTTATTAGGACTTGAATTGAGTGACAGTTTTGCCGTCTGTGGCGATGACTGCGCAGTCGTAGTGAAGGATGTGATGGAACCRCCGCTTACATTAACTATATTATGAAGGGTTGTGCTCCCGGTGTTCATGTTTGCTCCCGAAGCAGAGTTTATTATTAGATGGCCTTTATGCAGGTTTATGATACCAGACTTGTTAACAGTTGTTGTCGGCACTGGTAATTGGCCAATGATGCCAACTCGGGCTACAGGTTGCGATACAGCTGTTCCTGTCTGAGGACCAGTTCCACCGATACTTATGGCTACCTTTTGTGGATGAGTCGCCATAATAGTAGATCCGGCCATTAATGTAGTTCTCGGTCCACTTATTTTGGTTATGTTTTGCTTTAAATCATTGGTTTGCAATCTAATGGGACGGGCGCTCATAACATTATGATCATTAGGAGCCATAACAAGACTAACTGATTCTATCGGTAGTGGACCTGATGTTGTAAATAAAGGTCGGTTTTGACCACAAATTTGTTTGACATTCGTAACGGAATTTTGCGTAACGGCCGATGTGTTGACATTAGTCGAGAGATTCAGAACAGGTAATGAATTAGTCGGTTGTTGACCACTGATTAGTTGTGTTGTCCGCACAGATATTGATGCCGAGGTTGACGTGAGTGATGGCGTTGAACCCGTCGTACTAATGCTTTGTCCAGTTATTACCGACTGTCCTCTAATTGTATTAACTTGAAGACCACCCCTCGGTGCTGTTGATATAGTTCTCGGATGTAGTATAACAGTCTGCGGACGGGAATTATTATCCGAGAATCGGGCGACCATTACAGAGAGGGCGCCCACAGGTAATGGTGTCTGTGGTGTCGATGATTGCGATGCATTCGTATTAAATATTTCGCTACGATAGCCGGTCGTTGACGTTGTTGTGGCCACTCTGTTGGTGGCCAGTGTTGCGCCCGAATTGGACATCTCTATAGATGTGTTTGTAGGCAAACAAATGCCTATTGGCTTGAGGTCTGTCTTTTGTGGCACTGTCTGTGAGGTTGACTTAATCGATGATATTATTGGCATTTCATCAATGCCCGCAACTTTGGTTAAGTGTCCAAATAAACTATAATTCAATTGATCCAATCAATGGCCTATTTATTGATTTGATTCAACCAAATGTCACACTAATCAATGGCTCAGATCAACGGTTCAGACATTAAGTGATCAAAGTATCACATTATGGCCAACCAGTCGATGATTTGGTCATAGATTTCGTGTTAATTGTACGGACAGTAGGTGTGGACCAAAGCAATGGAGTCTTTCAGTAGATCTATATATCAATGAATGAGTGGTCAAACACAAGACAACAGTCATAGCAATCATAATATTCAATGTTATGAAGTGTTTCACTGTTTTGTATGAAGTATTCAAGTGTTCACTGAATTCACTGATTTAGTGCTCAAAAAAAACATAGCGTTTATAGCATTGAGTTCATCACGAGAGCCACCACTCAGTCAAGTCATACATACATTACATTCAATTGAATACAATATTTAATACATATATACATACATACAATACATACAGTAGTTGTAGTGTTTGAGTCGTATGGACGCCAATACTAGTGGAGGACATGACGTCAACAGTTATATACAATACTATTGGTTAATAACACAACACTACCATCACATCCGCCAAACATATTATTATAGGACTACTAATACAACAACACATTCACACCAATTATGTCAATACAATATAAACATATAGTTTGAGTAATTCTATTACAAATTGCATTCAAAATCTATTAATTGTTTACTAAATATTAATACAATTATTTGCAAACAATTGTCAATACATTTATTAATTATATTGTTTTCAAACATTTATTTAATTGTAATTTAAATTTCGGTTCAAAACAAACAATATTTACACAACAATTACGACACTATTATCACGTAATATATGATTGATTTCAATGTTAAGTATTGATTAGGATATGTCTTGAGATCAGATAATTGATATAATGACAGATAATTAGATGGACATCAATAAGACAATAGGGCAGTGATCGGATCCCATCACTTGTTTACGTATTTGATTGTCGATGACATTGTCAATGAATGTCTTCGACACCACAAAGTAGTCGAGTCTCCAACCGATGTCCTTTTGTCTCGCGTTTCGCATATATGACCAAAAAGTATATGACTTCTTAAGATTGGGATATAAATGTCTGAATGAGTCGATGAAACCTCTCGACAATAATCGTGTGAAGTCTTCTCTTTCTTCTTTAGTAAATCCAGCGGTCTTTGTGTTAGTCTTAGGGTTTTCCAAATCAATTTCTTTATGCGAAACATTAAGATCACCGCAAAGTATAACTGATTTCTTTTCATCCAATTTTTTGATGTATTCTTCAAAGTCTGTGTTCCACTTTTGTCTGTAACCAAGTCTGACGAGTCCTTTGCCTGAATTAGGTATGTAAGCCGTAATCACATAAAAGCTCTCGAACTCAGCGGTAATGACCCGACCCTCTGAGTCGTGCTCTTTAATATTGATGCCGTACTTGACATCTAAAGGCTTTTCTTTACTGAATAGAGAAACACCAGAATATCCTTTGGTTTGTGCGGAACAGTAGTATTTAAACCGATATTTTTGCCAAACATTGATCTCTTCGGGAATATCTTTCTTTTCACATTTAATTTCTTGAAGACATACTATATCTGCATCTTCTTTATCAATAGCTTTGAACGCATCCTTCTTGAGTGCCGCTCGAAGTCCACTCACATTCCACGACATTATCTTCATATTAACCTTTTTGTTATCAAACGATCGATTGTCTCCTCCGCTCTTCATATTTACTTCAATTTCACTAACAGTTTTGCCATTAGTTTCATCACTGATTCCCTCAATTTCTTCGTCTTTAATTTTAATCTTCTTATTTGAAATCTTTTGATTTTTGACACTCCTTTTACTCATTATTGTCGGCTAAAAAGTTATAACAAATAATCAATCAACGATTAAAAGATTGCATAAAAGATTAATATTAAATAATAAAAGTATTGCTAACTAATTGTAAAATAAATTTTGATAAGTTATTATAACTGTTATGTGAAATGACTAAACAATTTTTTAATAAATAAATCATTTTTTAATAATTCATTTTAATAGTAAATATTATCCAAATTCATATCATTTGAATTAATATTATATTTGTCATTAAACGTAAATTTCTAATAAAAAAACAATTTAAGTTATTTATTTAGTTATTGACTAAATATTAAAGTTAGAAATGTTTTGAAGTTATATTAGATATTACTGTTATTACTATAATTGCAATAAAGGTGTAATAAATTGAAAAATAGTTAATATTAAAAAAAGCAAAACTAAATGAAATTAATTGATATCTAAAAAATCAATGAAAACATGCGTTAAACAGTGTTGTTGTTGTTATAACACGTGTTTGACATTTCAATGACAGCTGTTTTTTAGCTACAAATAAATTATTACAACAAATACTGTATATAATTGTTGACTAAATTTGATTGAATTAATCAATTGATTATATAAATTGATTTCATATATGAATGTATGATTCAATTGAATTAATTGTTGTCTTCAGAGGTTTCCTGATATGCAGACAATGGTTTTGTTTGGATCACTTGAATGACAGACAAAATGTTTTATCATTTGATAAGCAGATCAAAGTAAAATTGATCTCAGATTTGGTTCAAACCATAATCTTTAGCCGAAAACTTGTGTTTTGCAGTAATTATCGGACACTAGTCTTCAAACATATCCGACAACAAGTGCTCAATATTTGTCCGAAGTTTGCTTCATCGGTAACCGGCATTTGCGCTGTCAATGAAATCACCAAAACTAATGTTTTGCTAAAAATAAAGTTGAGATCTATTGATCACCAGTTGGTTATTGACAAGAGTTGGTTTGTTTTGATTATGACAACCGATTTAATCAATTAATTAATATACGGTAATTGTATTTATTATTAGGAACCGTCGCTTAACAGCGTTGGTATCGCTTCGGTATGAAGTGGACGACAACTTTTCATGGCTGTCCACTTTAGGTGGTGCCTACTCTTCACTCGGTGAATACGATGTCAATTGTGTTAGTAATAAATAATTGTTAATTATTTGGTTTGAATCTCATTTTTATTCATGAATTTTATTTATTAAAAAATTGCATCAAATATTTAAAGGCTATAAAAGCGGGACAGATATCAGTATCGCAGTTACGTTTGGCCGGTCTTACGGGTGATCCAAATCTGGTGGCAAAATGTGGTATATTTATGGTTTATAGTCTGTGTCAACAACACAGAAGATGGGAAGCAATAAAACTAATCCGAAGAACTCTATACCCATTCATTACTCGCATACAGTTTTGCGACCAAACACTTAAAGCTATGTATTCAGCACTTTGTTATCGTATTAAAAATTATTATATAAATTAAAGCAATTATTTTAACTATAAAATCAGTTTATATCAAATCTACAGTAATTTTTAAAATGTTTATTAGACTACATTTTATATAAGGATTTGAGTTGAAACTAAATAATACTTAACTTAAATAAAAATAACATAAAATATAAAAAAATATAAAGCATTAAAACATAATTATTATATAATATAATTAATAAAATAATAATTGATTTAAAACATATTAAAAAAAACTTTTACCGTTTAATAAGTATTAAAATTTTTAACTAATTAGACACTGTTATTGGACTCAACAATAATGGGAACATGTATTTCATATAAAGATTTAGTGACCAAAAGCATTGTAAGCGGATCTGGACATCGATGTCTAATAATAGTATTTTTCGGGTATTGGTAGTAGTAATCAAACATAAAATCTTTGTCGTCATTCAAAACAAGTTTAAGTGATATTTCTTCCGATATAAACGTATGTGAAAAATGTAAATCAATTGTGTTTTTCAACAGTATCTTCAAAGAGGTTGTTGTGAAGCTTTTGATATGAATATCTCTTTTGCAATTTCGAGCGAATGTTTTTCAGCAAATGCTTTATCTTTGAACTCAGCCTTAATGTTCTCATCGGTAAAAAATCGATTGATTAGCCAATCATCAGATCCAGTCTTTTCTAATAATTCGCTCTCAATTTTCCTAATCTTGCTTTCATTTTCTTCTACTTTGGCTTCGAGAGTGCATTTTTGATCAGAATAATGAAGTTTCTGATTATACAGTGATTGTAATGGATCTGATTTAGCCATTGAGCTCATCTCATAGTCATCGTTGGCCATTGTTTTATATCTTTCCATATCATACTTTCGAAAAAGAAGTCTTAACTATAAGAATATATGAATTTAATATTAGATATCAATTTATTAATTACAATAAAAACCATTTCTTACATCAATTTTCTTTAAATTTGATTCACTTTCCATAAGTTTTTGTCTTAATTCAAACCTCTCCTCAAACAATAAGTCCAATGAATTCTTGACGGAATTCAAGAGTTTATTTGAATCATTCTTAGCATTGATGACATCCCGCGGAACCGTATTAATAGTTAAACGAAGTCTTTCACATTCACTTAATAAAATAGTATAAAAATTAAATTATAGTAAATTTAATGCTCATTAAGTAAAATGTTTTTACTTAGATTAATACCAAAAAAGTAAATTATTTTAAGTTTACTATTGGATTACACAAATAGAAAAATTTTAGTTTTGACATAATCTTTTGAATCTATAAACTAATCAATACTTATGATACAAATAAAACATAATTTCCCGGTAAGTCAGTACTGAACTCAATTATAACAGAATACTGTATATTTTACTATTGTTTTATAATTAGTTTGTTATGTAACTTATGTTTATTATCCAATATTAGTCACATTATTCATCATAATAGTAAAACTCAAGAATACTTAACAAATAAGTATTATCTAAATAGAGACTAATTATTCAAATAAATATATATTCAATATATATTGTTATTGTCATTAACTACCTGTATATATAAACACTTTATATAATATTAATATATTAAATCAATTGTAATTATATTGAATCGTTAGTTGAATGTAAATTTCAATGAGTCGATTCCTGAACCGTTACTTAACAACATTGTTAGCGCTTAGGTATGAAGTGGACGATAATTTTTCATGGCTGTCCATTTTAGGTGGTACCTACTMTTCACTCGGTAAATACGATGACAATTGTATTAGTAATAAATTGTTACATCATTTGGTTTGAATCTCATTTTATTAACAAAAATTGCATCAAATATTTAAATGCTATAAAAGCGGGACAGATATCAGTATCGCAGTTACGGATGACCCAAATCTGGTGGCAAAATGTGGTATATTTATGGTTTATAGTCTGTGTCAACAACACAGAAGATGGGAAACAATAAAACTGATCCGAAGAACTCTATACCAATTCATTACTCGCACAGTTTTGCGACCAAACATTTAAAGCTATATATTCAGCACTTTGTTATCGTATTAAAAATTATTATATAAATTAATTTTTTTAACAATAAAATCAGTTTATATCAAATGTACAGTGCATTTAAAATTATTTTTTAAAATGCATTTTATAGTAACGATTTGATTTCCAACTCAATAATACTTAAATTCAATTTTCAATATACAAAATTACATAATAAAAAACATTAAAACCTAATTATTAAATATAATATAATTATTAAACCGTAAGAACCATTAAAAAGTGATATTTAGTAAAAGTTTAGTTCAACACAATATATAAAGAAATCAAATGATGAGCGCAACGAAAGGATTTTCCTTTAATATTCTTCATTTGCGGTGTCATTGAGTATCTGTTGATCGTCGGGACTCTCATCGGGAACAGCAAACCCCTCTTCAGTTGCGTATAAAATCTCCAGAATCTTATCTGTAATGACATTCTTCTCTTCGTTTTCATTGTTTTGACACAAGACTTCAATGTCTCTCAACTTTCCGTAATAGAAATCCCGTTCGCGCTCTAAGCTGTCGATTGTAACCTTCATTTCATTCATCTAATTATAATTATAACAAATACTTTATTACCGTAAATCAAAAATCAATTAAACATTAAAATAACTAACTCTTGTATCCAACTCTTCCAGTTTTTGGACATCAATTGAATTGTCCGTATGGTCGCCGCCGTGAGAATTATTTTGAGTACGTCTTACAAAAGCTGGTTTGTTAGTAATCACTCGATTCGGTGCCGACTTTACAACCGGTGCTCTTGCAGTTGAAACAATACCTCTTTGTGGAGGCATTCGTGAATTCAATGTACTGGCAGAACCAGTATTAATATGTCCGACTTGACCGGAACCGATGACAACTCCAGCCCTGGCTTCCATTGCATTGTAATCTCTTCCATCGTAGTTGGAGTCAAAGAACTTTTTAAACCATTGTAGAAACTCAAAGTTATCCTGAAAGCGACCCTTTACCAGTCGATTGATGAGCACTTCCTGATTATTTTGGATCAAATCATTGGAATAATTAGTAAAATTATAAGTAAAATGTATGACAATATGTCAAACCTTATCGCATCCAACTTTCTTGAAGGCTCCCTGAAGAAGCTTAAAATTTTGTATGTATTCGTGCTCTAAATTGGTCCTGAATTTCACTTTCTTTATAACAATAGATCCCGGAAACAACATATCCATAAAATTACAATAAGCAGCACCTAATCCAATAAATGCAATCATTAAATAAACAAAATTGTTAATCAATTTGCTAATAATATCAATTGATTTGCCATTGAATGACAAACTGAGCGACAAACCGGAACAGAGCTCTTCAATCTTCTTATAACTGGATTGAAGACAATCGTTAACCCAATTCAACATTTCGTGTCGACTCATATTCTCTGATGTGGCAGAAGTGGCGTAAACATTGACGCATTGGTAGGCCTGTTGGCCGGACATCATATCACACATTCTTGTGGCTAAAGAGTAATTCATTATTCATTAGTTTTTTCAAAACTATTATTTATATCGATTGCTATCAAATTAAACAACTTATGTCTCGACTATTAAATGTCAATAAATCACATCATTTGAAAGAAAATACAGATTTTTTCAGATGAAATCATCTTAAAAATAATCAAATATTCTTCTTATGAGTCAAAGAAAAAAAAAACAAATTATCTCAAAGTCAGAGCACAACCCATGAAGTAGGCGTTTAAACGGGTTTTCAGTTCAAGATATTGTGAGGCATCGGTGTGGGAGACCTCAGGAAGTGATGCCAATGAATGGCAAAAATTAATAAAAAAAACTTAATGACTATTCATAACAAAATCAATGACTATTTTACATAATATTAGACAGTCTTTCAAACAATACTTTTCAATCTTATGTTATGTAAGCATAAGCGCCGGTATTATTATCTCAAAACTTAATGAAACAAAACCCATGTCATGACATGTCATCAATTGGATGGGTTGTCACATGTCATCAATTGGATGAGTTGTCTCATTGACCACAACTCGCATTAAAAGTCATTTGACAATTGATTTCAAACACAAATACATGTTTATAATGATAACAATTGATAGCAAACAATGTAATTATATAACAAAATCAATTGACTTTTCATACTTACATCAAATGAGCGATTATTTCAGAGAAATGACTTCAGATATTAGTGACAATTGAGTGTTTGTTCAGATGATTTCAATTTGGATGTCAATTAAGATTTCAATAAATTTGATGTCAATTAATAATATTGTTTTTGATTCAAATGAGAGCAACGAAACCAATGCTAAGTTTATAACAAACACTCAAACAAATCAATGAATCATTCAATAGACTATTCACTCAAACATTCAATGCTTTTAGTATTCAAACCAATCACTCAATTGAGCGCTGCCTTTGAAATCAAATTTCAAACATTTATTATTAAATTTATTGACTGTTAATAAAGTATAACTAATGCAAACATCACTGTTAGGTAACTATTGTCTCATTTTATTTCATTGTACAGTAAGTTATTTTTTCAACAAAAAAAATTATCTCAAATTCATATCATAGTTAAGCAACGGTTAGAACAGTATTAATATAAGCAATAAAAAGATTTGTATTTGAATTAAAATTGAACTTAAAATAAACAGACAATTATTTAACAATACTGTATAATAGTATAATAATTTATCTTTTGTTTTACTTTAGTTTTTATTTTGTTAGTTAACTACAATATATAATAATAAATAATAATAATAAAATTGTAATTTGTTTATAAACTATATCCACCTCTAAAAAATAAAAATTCATTATAAAAATCTTTTTTTTTTGCTAACAATGACATCATTTTATTTCAATATTTAAATTAATAATACATAAGTAACAATAATGTAATATTCATACAGTATTACAGTATAATTATTTATAAAATACAATAATTATGTTAATTTTGGTTTAATTTAAATCATTTTCAATCTCATCTGATTTGAAAACCGGTGTCAACTTAACCATTCGTACGCTTCCCGATGTGTTGACCTTAAGAGTCAGGTTCTGGTCATTGGATAACTTTCCTATTAATTTGGAGTTGTCGTACAAATCGTATACATTATATAATGGTTCAGATGGTAGTCCAGCAATAAGTGATGACAATTTAAACGATATCTATAAAAATAAAATTTTATTTATTAGAAAGCAATCAATTATTCAACTTTTTTAAAAGTTAGTGATTTCTAAAGAATTGTTTAATTAAATAAAATTATCAAAAAATAATAGATTATATTTAAGGATAAAGTCATTGTATTTTTTGTGGTTTCATAGGATGTACTGTAAGATTATGTAGTGATAAAGTACATCCTTTACACTAAGTTTAGACAAACATAACATTTAAATGTATATAAAAAATGAATTAAAATAATTTGATTTATTTAGAGAAATTGCCCAAACATTTGACTTACAATAAGAGGTGTTCCCAACACAACCCTATTTAAATAGACGATAGCATACGTGTTCACTCCTTTAACAATTGGTGTCATCGGCTTAACCCACACTTCAATTCCGCTTTTCTATAGAAAGTAATTACATTGCATTTTATTAATTGATTTCATATTTTTATTTAATAATTAAAAAATATATAGTTTTATCGCTAACCGAGTGGACTCTTGTGCCTAGAATTCCAAGTTTGTCCTGATTTACAGCTATTATATCCCTATTTTGCAAAATTTCTTTATATTGTCCACCAATTGATCTCAAGTCGTTAGACATTAACAGAGGCGCCGACCAAATGGCCCACAAAGCCATCTGAGCTCTACTTTGCTCTAAACTAAGTCCAAAATTTCCTAAAATTAGATTATTTTCACCAAAAATCAAAAATAAATTAGTTGTAAATGCTATATAAATAACTTTTAACTTCACTTTTGAAGTACCATTTAAATTATTTTGTCATTCAAATTATTTATCAACTTTTTAATGAAAAATTTGCTCAACTCATCAATAAATTCATACAAATGTTGCTAATATTAACTAAGATATTAAGCATTTAAACTAATTTTATGRGATATCTTCACCGAAACTGCCGTAAATGTTGATAAAACTCCAATTAAAATCTAATCTAACTATTTGTATAATTAATTGATTAAAATTTATATAACTTAATGCCATTAAACACCAATTTATTGAATGATTATTAATCTCAATATATATATAATAATATTATTTGCAGTATTACCTAACCTTGTGTTCTATAGTACAAACTAAATATAATTAAAGGGAAATATAATCAACTAATCAACACAATTATTAATTAATAAATTAGGACTAAATTTAACTACAAATGCTATTTTAAGTTAAATTATATTATTAATTTGTTGTTAAATTATTTTCTATTTATAKATATATTTCTTTAATATAGAAACTAATTTTATTAATCGCTAYAAATATTGTTTAATTTGAATGGCCGACTAACTTAAATAGTTCTTCAATATAAATTAATATATATATATATATATTTATAATATAAAATAAATTGATATATAAGACATACCAATGATTAACATGTCTGGATCATTCCAAGCTCCTGGACCTACAAGTTATTATATAATGTATATGTTTCGCATTTTTATTATTTATAATAATATATTTTTGTTTTAAATTTTGCAAAATTTATCTCAAATATAAATCTCAATAAAAAATTATATATTATAATTACCAAATATTATATACTATATAATATGTGTATCTATTATTGAAGCAATGATATAACATTTTGTGCATATATTAAATTATTGTATGTTTAGTGAGTTTGTTTTCTATAGCCATATAAATACATGTAGTGATCAAAAGTTAGGGTATATAATAAATAATTGATAGTTTTGAGACAACAAATCTGGCAATAATTATGGGTTAATTAATACGTGAAAAGTTGCTTTCAATGCAAGATTCTTGACATGACTTTTGGTCAACTTTTTTAAAACCCATCCTTAAACCCGTTCCTAGTTTTTGGTGTTACCGTTGAGACAGTCATTAAAATGCTTTCAATAAACGCTTAAAGCTATAAATGAAAAGCCCTTTGAAATAGTTTTGAAAAACTTAAGGAACGTCTCTACCAATTATGATATGTCCCGACTTTACTATAAATATATATATATATATATATATAGTACATGTATAGTATATATACATTCTATACCCCCTTTGTTCACTAAATGTATATCCAATAAGTGTTGAAAATTACATTTCAAATATTCATTCAAAAGGCTATACACTTTATMTACAGTCTGACAATTTTTACAACTACTAACTTATAAATATATATATATATATTGTGTGTAAATTATTACAAGTTTCATATCAATAGTGTACACATTTTATAGCCTAAATATTTGCTATTTTTGTTAGCTTTAAGTCACTTCACTAACAAGTTCAACGGCTAAACCTATTTTGAGGGGACCTTTCACTTGAACCCTAATTTTTACAGTACAGTGTAGTATAGATACTGTACGAAAGTTATAGTATTTTAGACATACAGTGTATGTATGTATAGCCAATAGCGTGTTAAACAACCATACTGTAGTAATAGTAGTAGACTACAGTAGTAGTGCAGTATATCTATTTAATAAATTACCTGGAAACAAATATTTCATAGTATTAAGTTTTGTTGTTTCTATTTAGCAATCTTAACAATTTTCTACTATTTTTAAAATGTATTTATTTGATACTATCAAACATATGTGTGTAATAGTATAAATTTAGTACAAACTTTCACTTTCACTTTAGTTCAATAGCAGTCAATAATATATGAAAATAAGTTATTTATATTGATTTTTAAATTATTAAATGATTTTTTATTAAAAATATTTATATTATTCAACTAAATTAATTTAATTAAGATATTTATTACTATTTTATTAAACAAATATGTTTTCGAAATATATGTTTATATATCTATCAATAATTATATCAATTACTTTCAAATTATATCAAGTAATTTGAAAAAAATATTTTCAGTCAAATACCAAATATTTCAATGTTGTTATAATTAGTTTAATTAGTTTTTATGATTTTATCAAACATTTGCTATGAATTAATTTCATATTTTGATTGTTTGTGTGCATAAAGAAATCAATCAAAATCCATGGTTACCATAATAGAGGATAATATCCTTTAGACTATTATTAATCATACATTCAGTTAGATATCAATAATATTTAAATGTTATATACAATATATATATGATATAATGTTTATCGATAGTACAGTATTAATAATATTCTTTGTTTATTGTCTTTAATATTATATACTTTTGTTTGATTATTGTTGGGAAGCACTTGAAAAATTTCACTAATAGATAATTTTATTAGCATTAAATAAATAAAACTTATTAATATTAGGATTAATATATTAAAAGTTGGACTCAATTTTAAGTTAGAGTCAGCATTATTGATATTTTAAAATCTGAAACATTATGATTGACTGATCAATTGAAACTTTTATACAATATCTATATAACTACAATATTATATAGAGTTAGCCCAGTAATGGTCTATCATTAACCACTAAATTGAATCTCAAATGGTTTGCAAATAAGCAATAAATGAATAGCAATTCTGTGCGTTTCAATGGCTATTGATTTGCTGTCAATGACTCAATAACTGTCATTATTTTGACCAAAAAATAAGTAATTAAATGAAATGAACTAAAGCTAATGCCAATTAAATAAATATTGCAATTAATAAACTTAATAATAACTTATCTGATACCATGATATTTAACTAAAACGTCTTGATATTTGGCATAGAAATCGATAATAGATGTAACACTAGTCCACGAATCCATAATATCGTCAAAATTTCGCCAATAATTGCAATATTGAGCTATCCTTCGATAGTCAGGATTTTGTCCGATTTGATAGGCGGGCCAACTGCAGGCATATACTATGGCACGACCTGTCCATTAAAAACAAATATTTATTGAGCACTTGTATAGTAGGGTTATAGGGGTTAGAGTTTAAATGACTGATTTTAGCGATAAATGAGAGTCAAATCGGGTGTGTCTTTACTGACCGGATGAGTTCAAAGCGCGACTCATTTCTGGATACATGTTTGTCATGTTTTTTGTGTCCGCATAACAACCGTCCAGTTTTAGTGAGTCGACCCCCCATTCAGCATAGGTCTGTGCATCAATGGTATCGTAATCAGTGCCATCCTCTCCTCTCGCACCGGGATATCCGCCGCATGTTTTTGTACCGACGTCTCCATAAATTCCGAGTAATAAACCTTTGGAGTGTACGTAATCTGCCAGTGCTTTGATGCCATTTGGAAAGCGTTTGTGGTTTGCAACTAACCGTTTGGTCACTGGATCTCTAGTCATTTCAGTCCAACAATCGTCTATATTTACATAGTTATAGCCAACCTCTTTATAGCCATCAGCCACCAGTCTATCGGCAATATCTTTATACAACTGTTCACTAATGCATTCATTCGGGTAGTTATCACAATCTATATTACAAGCGAACCGTTCCCACGACATCCACCCCATCGGTGGCGTCCGTACTAAACCATTGTCCAGTGTTTTGACTAATTTCAAGTCAATCAACCAAATAATTGTCACTATTTGTAACAATATATGCATTATTTAACTCTTTATATAAATCTTTAAATATATACTAATTTTTAACTAATAAATAATCCAATAATTAAAATATAAAATATTAATATAATATTTGGAAACAATAATTACTGACAACTTTTACTAAACAAATAAACTAATAAACTGTGATCTTATTAGAAACCAACTAATGATTGTCAGCTCATATCTAATCAAAAAAGTCTTCATTTAAAGAGTTTTAGTATTGAAGTATTGATAAAATAATTATCATTTTTATTTACTAATAATATTAAAACTTATAAATTAGTTTCAAATGACTTGTTAAAATTTTTTTATTTTATTTCATTATATATATATATATTTTGTTATAATATATAGAATATACTCTAAATATAAAATAAATAAATATATATTTATATTATTTTTATCGTTATATAGTTTAAGAAATAATAAAAATAAAATATGTAATATAATAAAGTTATGTAGTTTTGATTTTTGTTTCTTTTTCTATAACATTACAAAATTCAAATGCAAAAAAAATGTAATGAATTACTTGAAATGTGAAAGTGTTGCTCAAAAAAATTATGATAACATATAAACTTTAAGGTATTTTACAGTAAATACAGTATATATTAATCCTTGTGTTTGATCCAAACATTTCAAGGTTTGTCCAATGATTCGCTAAATATAGTTATAGTTAAAAATCTAATAAAATTTATATAAATTTAATTTATTGAAACATGTGTTTCATTTTAAAATACAGTAATATCTAACAAAAATTTTACACTTTATTGAAATTAATTAATTCAATATATAATTTTAATTTGTATTTAGCAAATCATATGAAATCATATGAAATCATATAAAAATTATATATAAATTCCCGCCTGTGATTCAAAAACCTATTGACTCAGCTGACAAAAATATATGTGAATTTTATAGATATAATCTAATCATTAAATTCACTTTAATTTGAAATCCTATGATATTTTGTGTATAATTTTAAAATTATCATGTTCAATCAAATATTGTACATATTTTTTAAGTTTTTTTTGTGTTGAGTATCAGGAAAGGCTAATTAACTATCGCATAAAACTATATATAAAAATAACAATAAAATAATGGATTTATGAAACATTTCTCAAACAATCTAATAAACTAAACTAAAAATCAAGTAATGATAAATGCATGACATTATAAAATAGATTATAAAACTTGATTTGCAAATAAGGAACTGGTATTTTTGGTGGGCATTCATATTATTATAAGTTATAATTTATAAACTCTAATTTTAGATTAATTTTTATCGATATATATATATATATTTGTATCGGTAAAACATATATTTGTTATATTGTAATACATTATTAATATATTATATTAGTTATAAGAAAATAAATACAATATTTTTTGTGTATTTCTATGATAAACAGTTAATTTATAAATATATATATATATATATATTTGTATTTAACTGCAAAACAAAGTGTTTTGCAGATCATCATTACTTTATTAGATTGAAAATATGCTTAAAATATACAAAAATAAACAAAATTTGGAATAAAAATTTACTTTATTAATAATAATGATAAAAATATAATAAATCAAAATAATTGACATAAATAAAAATACTAAATTAAAGGCACATTCGTTCAATTTAATCATATAATGAATTAAATAGTTAATAGCAAATAATTATTTTAATATAAATGAATAAACAAAATTCAAATAAATTGAGTCATTCGCTACAAATTAGTAAAATGAGAGCAATAAACCACCAAAACTTTAAAATTTATTTTAACGACACATTATTTCATTTGTAAACCACTGTTTGCATGCATTTTCGTATCACAGATACAGTACTCTAAAACACCAAACCTTTCCTTTAAATTTTCAACATTTCTAATGTCTTTAACATATATATCGCAAACGTTTAATAAATCGTGTTTCAGATCAATAATTAAAAAATTAGAAAACAATTTAAAAATTTACTTCTAATTAATTCATACAAAACAACTATATGTGAACAGAACAGTGATTATAATATAAATTAAATAATTGGTTAGAAATAAGGCAATCATTCAATTACGCGATTAATATATAATATATAGTAAACACAATCAATAATCAAATATAATATAATAATTGGGTATAAAAGATGAACTCAAATAATATATATGTAATAATAATTCATATTCCTATAAATTGATATAATATATAATATAATAATAATCAATAGTAATAATTATAATCTTAATTGGATTCCGTTTTTATCTCATTCGACAATATCTTCAAAAGTCGTTCCCGTTTTTCGATTTCCGCGTTAAGAGTCCTTTCAAGATATCTTTGTTTGTCGTTGAGATGGTTCACATAAGTGGTCGCTTCGTGTAAAATCATAATTCTTGGCGGCCTTTTCTCTGCGCTCTTAAGTTTTGGGATCTGGTCTTTAAGGTTAACAAATGCATTCCTCAAGTGATCTCTTCGTTTTCTTTCGGAATCATTGTGTTCTCTTCTCCTCAAAGGACCTACTTTTGGTGTCTTTTCACTATTCGAATCATTATCGTTATCATTATCTTCTTCTTCCTCATCATCGGAATGACTTTCTTTGAGTCTGTCATTAACTTTACTTTTGAGAAACTGACTGTTTTGAGCAAACATTACTTTCCGTTCCGACGATACGGTCGATGCCTTTCTTCGGGTCGAAAACTTGCAATTCTTTTGTTCCGAACTATCTTTAGAACAGTTATTACTATTACTATCTAAACATGTCTTAGATTTGATGAAATGTTTGTCATTTCTAATGATGCGAACTGTGGGAACTGTTGGTATCCTATTGTTGGTATCTTTGGGTCCAACTATTGAATTACAACTATTATTATTATTATTATTACTACTAATGGGTGAATTTGCTTTAATAATTTTAATCTTTTTGCCATTTATTTTATGGCATCTAATCTTATTTCCAGATCTCGTCTGAACCTTATGTTTGGGATATATAAGACCTAAACAAATAAAAAACAAAACCAAGACATCAGACAATAGATCTTTAAATAAATCAAATATAAAACACTTACTTTGCGTTTCATAAGTACTCTTGGATTTGCTATTTTGATGACTACTGGCAAATGAACCGCCGTATGAGTGATCGTTAATCAAACTTTGCTTTACTTTTGCAAATGAAGTACTGCTTGAACTCGATTGTGAAGAAGACTCGGCACCACTGCTAAAGTCTTCATCCATTGAAGACTGACTGTCATCCATATCGTCGTTTGAATTGTCACTACTCATTGTTGATAATATGTCAGTAAATGTGTGTGACATCAATGGTGAAGTCGATAGTGTATTGAAAGGTGTATCGGGTCTCGTATGGTTGCGACCACAGATGCGAATAGCATTAGAATTACATCTATGTCTTGAACAGCCAATAATATTGTCTTCAACACACTGTCCCGACCACATACAGTCATGTAAGACATCAGCGTTGTGTAACATTGAGCTTTCAGTCATCGACAAACTATCGCCATCAGTAAAGTCAACCAAATCAGACACCAAATCAAGTCTAAGTGGTGGTGATTGTGGAGGTGTTAGCAAACAATCGTCAAACTTCTTCCATATGTCTTCACACGGAGACAGACATATGTCAGTCATATCTTCAGTGGTAAACTCTTCGGAGATGTCTTTTAGTTCATTTAAGACATCGCAATCAAAACAGGGATGTGTTTGAAATGTGAAAACACTTGAATCAATTCTGACCGGCATTTTGTCTGCAAATGAATACCAAATTAGATGATATTATTTTGCATTCAACTATTGATTTGTATTAAGCGCTCCGATAGTAGACTACAATAATAGCTAAGTCTATATAAAGTATGATTGCGTAACACAAGGGTATAGTCTATAGACGTCTATTTAAAGTGAATGTCTGTCTGTAAGGATAGCTAACAGAGCAATGTATGCAATGTCTCGACTGTATGCCTGCGAAGCCCTCTCTCTATAGCCCACACTTGGCTTCACAGCTATAGGCGTGCGCTGTAGTGTCTGTCCCACACAACACTTGTGCTTTAATACCGGCATAACATATACGTACTAAACGTGTCTCCAATATCTATGCTTTTTAAAGCAGTTCCTGTCGCCTACCGGTGCGCTTCAGTGGCGTAAATGGCATTTGGGGTCAATTTAAAAACAGATGCCATTTATTAATAACAGTAATAATCATTAACTAAACTATTGTCTCTTAAGGTCCACCAAAAAGACAGGTGCTATCAAACTATACGTCCGCCTAAGGCATTACCACTAATATTACGCCACTTTTGGCGCCCATATATCATAACATACACTAATTGTAAACAAATGTTATAATTTTTATATCATTTCTTTGTTTTATATATCGCTTCAAACATATCTATCATTGGATCAATTGGTTTATAATATTTCCAATTAAAGTAAATAATCATTTAATGCAAACATAAGGCACTCAACAAGTATTGCATTTTTTAAACATTTAAAATGCATTCATATTTAAAGGGACTAACTTTATATATATACAGTATATTAAGCGCTAACAGTGTTTGAACCTATGGTTTAGCTATACATACACTACACTATAGCCAACACTTTACCGCTTATTATATATTCATATAATTTGTACATAAATGACATCAAGTGTTGGACTAATCAATAGCTATATATTAGTCAATATATTGTCCGATGAATAGTATTTAAGAGCCAATAGATAGGCGTTTATAGCAGTGAATGGCGTCTCAATAGTCTAAGCACTCATTCATTGTGTACTAACTATAGGCATACGTAAGGCATGACTCTTGCGAAACATGAGACACAAAGAGTATTAAAGAGACAAACATTTAAACCATTTTTTAATATTATTTATAGTCTATAGACTTACCGGTTATCAGTCGATAATATAGTTGACAATTAGGTTAACAAATACACATCAATGACAATATAGTACGGGTTATGACAAACCAATTATAGTCGTTAAAAGTKGACACAAATCACACACAATGTTTGTACAAATGCGKAGAACAGCCGACACACCAAATGCCGGTGCGATTCACACAACACTCTACTTAACGCTCAACACATACCTACCCTTACAGCGCATGCGTAGTGTGATTGGCATTTGGCGCTAAAACGCACGCAAATTGTTTATAGACCTCAACATAGCTTATAATACCAAACCCTAAATACACTTTCAATTACCCGATACTTACATTACTATTGATTACAAACTTTATAATTGCTATTATATTTGTAATAATAACATATAATTGCAATATTAACTAACATTATATATATTTATATATACTGTATATATATTGCAATATATTACTGATCCTCAATGTATGTGACCATCATTGCAATATGACCATGATCATTATGACTATCACCATTAATATGACCATGACCAATTTAGCACAATTGTGCAATATATTAGTGTTTTGTCAATTTGTTAATACTATTAATATAAGTGTTTAATGTTTGGTGTGATAACTATTACTAGTTGTTTGCATTGTGTATAGTTTGGGGTATGTTATGGTATATACGGGTATTTAATGGTATATTATGGTATATGTGCTAACATATAGTATAGATGTCTAATTGTTAGCCTTGAGTGGTTCAGTGACTGTTTTGGCGCCAATTTATTGGTTGGTCTGACAATAGCCAGTATATGACTGAACACTACTTTACAGAACTCTATACTGACTTGACTTCACTTTATTCCACATTAGACTCACTTTTGGCTGAATTCCAGGAAATCGATTGCGACATACAGTGTGTGCTCAACGATAGCATTGAATATATTCATAGTTGTGTTGAATGTGTTGAACACTACTTCAATGCCATCAATACTATCGACGACTGGTTTGGCGCACAACTCAAACATTCAAACATTGAAATGTAATGAATAATTAGTTAGCAATTTATGAGCCAAAGAGTAGTACAGAACTACTTCTACATTGAATGCCATCCCCTCTGTGTTTGTCAGACAAAAGACACCAAATGTTTGATAACAAAGAAATACAATTCAATGCAAACATCGTATTAATAATCGAGACATTGAAACAATACATTGATCTCTGTCTTCAATAAAACAATTGAAATATAGATTTATGATTTAAATTAATATCAAAATCAAAACCCAAAACCAATTGTCAGACAATTAATGGCCCAAAGGGTCGGTAGAAACCAAAGCTGTCTTTCCTTATGCTCTACTGATCCACTTTCAGACACAACACTTGTCTCCCAACAAATGCATTGAAGCAAAACTTTTTATTTCGTCGTTTGATTTAAATTTAAATAAAAAAGTGATAAAAAGTTTGGACACAACAGGTATTAACTCAAGTGTTACTCAATATATTCAATGATAAGTATTTAAGATAAGAGAGAAAAAAGTTATTGAGAAAAGAAATATTACTTTCATTTTCGACACTATTTTTAATGATTATGATATAAATGTCGCCAAAAAAACTTTTATTACTGATTATTAAAAGTAAGTTTATATCATATGATAAATGTTGAGAGTATTTCACTGATTGGTGTGTAGTGTATATAATCACAAAGTGATACACACTATAACATTGTATAATATTTCGGTATATACTGTAAATATATAGTGATATGATATACAATATAAATAAATTATAATTTATTTTTTATATCAAATATATAGTACTGTATTATACTGTATGTCCCAAGTGTTTGATGGTTCGCCTCATTTATCTTATCTGAAAAAACTTCTTTTTTTTGATAATTTTATGACAATTTCATTGAAATATATTAAGTGTATGTTTTTTACAGACAATTGATTAACTTTTTGTATAAAACTTTGTGTTAATACTATCTAAAACTAACTTTTGTTTAGATTAAATACCGCTATAATATTGCTTTTAATGAATTCGTTGAATTGCATATAGAAATAAAAACTAAGTTAGTATTTGATGTAATTGTAGATAAAATATATTTACAATATATCGAAGTTAGTTAACAAAATGGTTAACAAAATTGTTTTATATTTTGTTATATAAGTTAATAATTAGGTTAATATGTTTATAATTTTACGATTCGAGGCTATAAATACTGTACACTAGTATTAGTTAAATTAGTAATTAAATGAATGAATAGTTTTACTGTTATAAAGCTTATGTAATAAAAGTGTGATTTAATAGTAAAAGTAGTTAAAAGCGGTTAAACATTGCATGGATTTCCTCTAAAGTATTCATAAAATTCATGAGAAAAAAGGCGGGAAAGTAGTGATGAAGTGATGGTATAGTAAAGGGAAAGAGAGGCCAACACTGACTGCACTGACTCTACTCTGAGTCAGGAATTTCTGTGAATATAATCTAAAAGCGATTTCCTGTTGAAAAAAGCGTTATGTCTCAGGTCTGGGCCCTATTGATAGGCATTCCTCTATTGATAGGCATTCCCTTAATATAAAAGCATTCCTAACATACAAACAGTGAACAGTATTTGTGGCAATTTTTTGTTACCAAAAATATTTCTCAGACCTTTAAAAATAGTTTTCTCAATGAATACCAAAACCATTTAAATGCTATATATTTACAGTACTCTAACTATAATATTATATGAATGAACTAAATAAATGACCATTTATTCAATCAATGTAACAAATACTTAATTATTACTTTTTTTATATACATTATAATCAAACATCTGCTTGTATTTCAATTAAATTATATTTCATTAAAATCTAAATAATACTTATGTATTTAAAATTAAATTAACAGTAATTGACATCAATTAGTATATTATGTCCCTTAAAAAGGTCGGCAAATGATTAATATTAATAATGACAGTATTTATTAAAAAAAAAACTATTATTAGTGTTGAAAACAACAATAAAAACAAAGAAAAACAAACGTTTTATCAATGATTTCACTTAATGTTTATAATACTGAAAATTTTTATGCATTGCTTTGTATATAACAGTTATAATGCAATTCACTTAACTATAATTATGTTTGACTACAATATACCAATGTATTATACAATGTATAATACAATGTATTGTCGATTATGTGAAGCTAAGTGTATTGAATTACTAGTCATCTCTGCAATGATTGCATTCATAACTAGTAATTATCATATTATTAAATACTAAATCATATAAATTTAATACTTTTATTATATACTGTATTAAAATAAATATTTGAAGTAATAAAATGTATTTTTTGAAAACAATTCAGTAGTTATCAGTTTAGTTTTAAAAAATAAAATAAATATATTATTAAATTTGTCATATAATAGTTTGTATCAATATTTTTGCTCTAATTTGATGACAAATTGGGTCAAAATTGAATGATAATGAAAATGTTTTCAATAATTGATAACACTTTGTTTATATATAGTTTTTATATAATATAAATTCAAAATACAATTATATTATATTAGGAAAATTTTGATATATTAAGATATAAGAAGATTACAATTCATTGTTGAAAATACATTAACAGAGAAAGTCAACTAATAGTCGGAAGTTAACTATTGATAAAAACAGTTTAACTAACAGTTAGAGTCATTGACGCCTAAAATATTTAAATAAATCTGTTATTTGATTCAATTGATTCAAAGATAGCAAAAGTTTTAAAGTGAATCATTGGATTTGTTTGGTAAATGTCTCACTTGTTTCTCACGAAGTGTTTAGTGTTTTAAAAAATGCCAGAATTTAGTTACAAATATCTTGTTAGCTATCATCTCATGAGAGATGAAATCATTGAATATATACCGGTATATATATATATATATACAGTATATATATAGTAACCAGAAAACTAAATGTTTATAATAAAGTTGATGACATATTAGCATTACATTAGCGATAAAATAGGGAAATGTGTGCCAAACATAAGTGTCAACATTGTTTAATAAACACAAAATTTTCATACAATTTTAACTTCATGTGTGTTTACTCAGTGTATACTATATTACAACTGTTACAACATTGCTTTTAAATTATAATAATAAAAAATTTGCATTTTATTCATGATTTTAATGGTATTAAGAAACAAACATATTTTTATTTATTAATATAGAAAATTATCAATTTAATAAAATAAATAATAAAATACTTTAATCGTATAAAAAACTTACAGTATTTATATATAAACATTAATTTTGATATAATTTTATATTTCTTATCTAATCTCTGGTCGAAAGCTATAAGAGATGTTTTCTTACATAAATAATAAAAAATCATTAATAAATTGCTTTTTCTGATAAAACTATTATTCATTGTATATATTAGCAAAAATATTTTACAAAATTGATTATTAATAATGATTTGAAAAAATTTATTTATATTTACATACATAATAATATTTATTAAATATAATTTATTTTTTATGAAT